GGCGCCGCCGCCGCAGCGGCGCTGGGAGGAGCCCCAATGAGGAGCTGCGCCCAGTGGGGCGGCAGGGCGGGGCCCACACCGAGGGCCCCCGGAACTGCCGACGGTTGGGCCGGCGGGGGCCCCGGCGGCGGCGCTGGCGGCGCGCCGCGCGGCAGCACCAGCTGCCCCCCCAGCATCAACGGCGTTCCAGACGACGCCGCCGCGGCTGCCGCCGCCGCCGCTGCCGCGGCGACGGCCTGCTGATGCTGCCCCGCCGCCGCCGCCGCCGCCGCGGCTGAGATCCCAGGCATCCCGCCGCTGGCGGCGGCAGCTGCCATCATCGCTGCCAGAGGTCCAGGGAAGCTAGACGGCGTCCCTAGGAAAGCGCCAGGGCCTGCGCCGGCACCGCTGCTGCCGCCAGCGAGGGGAGCTCCTGACGGCGCGGCTGCCGCCGATGGCGGCGGCGGAGCTGCGTTAAAGCCAGCGGCTGCGGTCCCCGGATACCCCGATGGCTGGGCCGCCGCTGCCGCTGCCGCCGCCGCCGCCGTCGCCGTCGCCGCAGCCCCAAGCTGATGTAAAAGCCCCAGGCTGCGTGCGCTGCTCGTACCCGCCGCTCCAGATTGCTGCTGCCCTGTTGCCCCCGCGGACGACGCCAACTCAACCTCGGATTTGGTACTACCCGGCAACGCCGCCGCTGCTTGCCTGCCGCCGCTGCTCGTCCCATCCGCGGCGCCGCCAGCCGCCGCCATCGCCGTCGCCGCCGCGTCGTTAACGGGGGCTCGTGGCTGCTGATGTGGATGGCTGCATCTGCCTCCGCCGGCACCATTACCATTACCGTTACTATTAACGCTTTTGCCGTTGCCGTTGCGAAAGCCATCCGGTGACCTGCCTCCGCCGCTGCTACTGCCTCCGCCGCCCCCGGCGCCACTCGGCTCAACCGCACCATATGACTCAGGATCCATCTCCGGACTGCTACTTCCAGCGCGAGTCGGATCCGACAGCTGCGGCTTCTGGTGTTGTTGTTGTTGCTGCTGCTGCCTAGATGCATCTCGCCCTCCCCCGCCACCTTCGGCGGAGCCACCTGACTGTAGCTGTTGCTGCTGGTGGTGTGCGATAAAATGGGCGATGTAGACGTGCTGGGCACAGCGCCGGAACGGTGCGCCGCGTACGACACCCCCCCCAATGTGCGCACCAGGCGTAGGAGGGCTGCCGCTGCCGCTGCCGCAAACTGCCGCCGTTGGCGGCCCCGCCGACCCGAGTGAAGGAGGAAGCCCCGTCGCGCCCGCGACGGCTGATGGGGCCGCCGCCGCCGCCGCTGCCGTGGCCATTGCTGCCTGCAGCGCAAGTGGATTGGCGCCGAGGGCTGCCGCCGCCGCCACCGCTGCCGGTCCGCCGGCATGCAGCGCCCGTACATACTCCAAACACGCTGGCGGCAGGCCCACTACAGCTGCGCCCGGACCTGCGACTGCCGCTAGCGCCTTGATCATCGCCGCCTGCTGCTGTAGCTGTTGTTGCTGCTGTAGCTGTTGGTGTAGTTGATGCTGTGTATGCGTGAGAGCTGCTGCCGCAGGGGGAGTTGACGGCGGGTGAAATTGGGACGCAGCGGCGGCGGCGCCGCCTCCGCCAACAGCCTTGCCTGCCTCCGCCAGCCCCTTCGCAATCAGCTCCTGTGCCGTGGACGCCGCCGCCGCCCCCGTCGTCGTCGCCGTCGCCCAGTGTTGCCCCGCTCCCGGCAACAGCCCCATGAGTTGGGCCCACGTAGCAATTGGCGCTCCGGAACCGGCCAAAATCTCAGCCAATGGATGCACCACACCCGGCGGCAAGGCCACCGACATCTTGCCAGGCCCCGTCGCCGCCGCCGAGCCAGGCGCCACAGGCGCCGAGCGGCCCGACATCGCGGCCCGGTCCCCGCTATCCCCGCCAACCTGCTGCACGTTGGCGGCCGCGGCGGCGCCACCGTTCAAGCCACTTCCTCCTCCTCCTCCTCCGGCTCCGCCATCGCCGGCCCCGCCGCCGCTGCCGGGACGGCTGGGGCTCCCGGGGGCACTGCCGCTCTGGGGCTCCGCCTTCACACCGGCCGCCACGCCACCTCCGACAGCCCCTTGTCTGCCGCCGGCACCATTTCCGCCAGCACCATTTCCGCCGGCACCACTGCCGTTAGCACCAGCGCTGGCGGAGGCGCCACCGGTGGCCCGGTCGTGCTGAACACCCTGACGATCGTGACCCATGCCAACTACAGGCGCCCGTCGGCTCCCAAAGCCCTCTCCGGCCGCCGGAACCACAGACCCACGGGTCATTGCAGCAGGCTCCTCCTTGAGGGCGGCCGTGGTGTCTGCCGCCGCTGCTACTGGTCCTTGCGTCGTGGTTTCGCCGCCGCGCAGGGGACCGGAGGCTGCAGTCGATTGCCCGGCGGACGGCGCCGTTGGCAGCGGACCGGCAGCGGCCCCGCTCCGGTTACCAGCCCGCGCCGCCATTGCAGTAGCGTGATGGCTGGAGAGCGGCGCCGTACAACTGCGGGAGCCGTTCAACGGCCGGAGGCCGCCTGGGGCGGAGCCGTCGATCAGAAAAGCCGGCATCGGCGGTTTGCGGCTGTCGTCGTACGGCTCATCCATGTACGGCGTAGGGCCACTGCTGCCGCGGATCGGCCGGCCGCGTTGCTGCTGCCATGGTGCCGCCGCCGCCGCCGCCGGCCGAGAATCACCACTTTGGAGCACGTTGTGCTGCTGGTGGTTGTGGTTGTGGTGGTTGCGGCCGTTGGAGAGAGGTTGCGATGCGGTGGACAGTACAACTTCCCCGGCGGAGGGCACAGGGGGTTGGCGGGTCGCGGATGAACCGTTGGGTCGACCGCGACGAGGGAGCTCGCGTTCGCGAGGGCCCATTTGCTGCTGCTGCTGCTGTTGGAAGGCTTCCATGTGGAACACCGCAGCGGGTGCCCCGGGGGGGGAGCCGTGCATGTCGTCGTACGGATGTACGACTGGATCTACGTCATCAACCGCCGTGAGGTCATCCTCCCCGGCCAGCAAATCATGGCTGCGGCGGCGCTTGATGGGCCCCGCGCCGCTGCCATTGTGCCATGTGGAGGTCGCGGCGCCGTTGCCATTGCCGCCACCGCCAGACGCAGCAGCGGCGTTTGTGCGGCCGTTTGTGCCGCCACTGTAGCCGTTCTTCCTAGGGCCCGGCGCTGCCGCTGCTCCGCGCGCGGTCGCGTTCGCAATTTTGAGGAGGGCCTCAGCGATAAGGGCCTCCTCGTCCTCAATAGGCTGCGATATGAAAGCGTAATCGCAGGGCAGATTACGTGCGCAAGGTCGTTGGAGGAAATGGGTGCTCGCTCTTCCAAGCATATGTCCGTTGTTCGCCAACCAACTCGGCTCTTTAATCGTTCGCTTTATATTCTTACCTTGAAAAGAGGACCCCTCATCCATGAGCAAAATCAATAAATGGCATGGTAAAATACGCAACAACCTAACCAAAAGCCGAATCAAGGAAACTGTATCATACTTTTTCTTGCCTGCGACCGCGTTACTTAGCTCACAGAAGGGCGCTTTGCATCACAGTTGCAACTTAACATAGGCACAATTATAAGCCAGGAAAAGCAGCTGCGCTGTACCGAAGCAAAGTGCCAATATGCGCAAGCTTTATAGGATATAAAACAGCTATAGGCAGCGCCTCACCTCCAGGATTGGTGAAGAATTTCGTGTTGAATTCTGCAAGCAATGCGCATGACCATGCCAGTTAGAAGCACTTGTTTGCAGGGTCTGGGTTCTCTACGAGCGCGAACACTCACCTTCGAAGACGACAGGAACCACAAGTCTTCGGGACTTATATCTCGAGGCCGTGTCCTACCTAAAAGATTGGCATGCGGTAGCGACAACGTGAGGCTCAAGTAGAAACGGTGCCGAAAAAGCGCGAAGTAGTAGTCCAGAGTGGACAAGAAAGTACTTACAGCTAGTTCGCCGCCGTCTTGGTACATCAAACCCCAAAAGGTCATCGTGTGTACTTGCAAAATGACCCTGCATTGTGATATAACCAAACATCAAGGCGTGAGCAGCGTAAGGGTCCGTGGGGCGGGCTACGCAACGCCCGACCATACCTTTGTTGATGACAGCCTTTGGCCTGTAACTGTATATTGTTGTTTACCCCGCGGCAGCTCAATTTGCATAGCTGCACCCGCCGCAGGGAGCCTGGCTGGTCCGGGGCCAGCGCAAGCAGCCGTCCTTCCAATATGCACTCCAATCGGGCTCTATGGACAAAGGCGATTCACTATCCCTGTTTCCACAAACGGAGATGACAAAGACCAAGGTTGGGGATCGTTCCAATCATGGGGGATAACGTGTAATGTTTTGCAGGTTGTGCTGACACCAGAAGTTCATTCTGCCCACCACTGCGCATAGCCCAGGGAGATTCCTTTCAGCGGTCGCGCGTTCGCCTCCGGCGTCCACAGCCCCTGGTCGCCTTCTCTCCGGGGCCCCAGATGCGTCGCGCCCAGAGCACCAGTGCTCCAAAAATAACAGCTCTTTGAAAGTTTATTGGAAGCTCCAAGTTGCTGGAAGAAAAGCCATCCGCGTGTTTAGGGAACCTTCAGTCGGCGTCTCTTTAGTAAGTAAAACGGGACATGCAGACGAAAGTATATATTATTTTCCGTTACAGAATACTCATCATACCCCTGCGAAGATTGCCGGGCACAACTTGGGGCTCTCGTCCCGCAATGCCAACTGACTGTGATATGGTGCTCGTACGTTTCGGTTGTCGTCGGCAAATCATGGATATTAGAGCCGAGTTGTATCCTCCCAAGCCCCGCGGATTAACTTCTATGCAAGAGGTGAAAAGGGGCAATTTTATTTATCCCTATATATTTCTATTAGAGGAAGCGAACGTTTTCTGGTGAGGGCCTTATGCCTTGTCCTGGCGGAGGAACTCGCTTTCGAACATATACAACATCTAAAAATTGCATGCATGCGATGCTTACGGGGCAGGAACATTGGTAAATCATTGCCGCTATCAAAGTTATCTGTTTGCAACTGGTTCCGCTTTGAGGAACGAGGCTTTCATATAATAACAGCGGGACTTTAAGACGCGTGCATTCTTTAAGCTCCAACATCCTGGCTGTGATGCGTGAGTCCCGTTTGCACTGTCGCGATAAGTCGCTCAATATAAGCCGAAGGCCTTGAGCAGCAACATAGTTCGGCGCTGATTGCCAAGTTTTCCGTTGGGCAGTTTTACCATAACTATGCAGTGTCACGATGTGCAGTACCATTACGATACTTTTGGCATTCGTCGTCGACGCGGACTGACCCCTTGTCGCCGCGGTATGCATGATGACTGCCTGGCGGGTTAATGTGACTTGCCCAAGCCATATCTTTAGTCTTAAGAATGGGCCAACGGATAAAGGCGATCAACCTCCGAGGTCTAACCTTGGAATCAACTCTGCTATGCCTTCTACTACGAAATGAACGAAACATTTCCCATCCCCTAGCGTGATATGCACACGGCAAACGTCAACTATGCCAGCAGGCCGCGAGCATGATTAATAGTTTGAATGGCCGGCATGGTCATCTCGCCTTCCCTTACCGGCGTCCACGGCAGCTATTTCATCTGTCATCCGCAAGAAAACCTTGACTCAACACTTCTTAGTAGAAAAGTCGGGATCGACCCACTACAGCACCGAATCCCCCCCCCACCGTGTCGCCATCATAATCTTCAAGCACCCTATGCTCCTCCTCGCTTTACATGTAAGCGGCCGCAATACAGCCACGTCAGTGCGGCCACCTCCACACTGCGGAGGTGAGGCATTAGGCATTACCCTTTAGCGGCTCCGAAGATTAGGCTCACAGGGAGCGCTCAAAACCGACACGAACCTTAACTGTCAACTAAGTAACTGCCCAACGCTCACTAACAGCCCAAAGTAAAGGAGCGCTTGCTCTAAAGCAGTCTCTATCGCTCGGAGCCCCGCGGCAGCCGGCGGACCTGAACAGGCCCGCCAGCTGACAGGGCCCCACGCGATCAAGAGACATACACACACACACATACGCACACACGTGCACTTGGGCGATGATGACGTTGTTGGTGCTTCCAACACCCACCCATTCTTATCTCCACCACCGTGTTAACACCCACCATACGCCACCAAGGCTAGGCAAGGCAAGGTTCAGCTCACGAAACGAAATATGCTATTGCTCAACGGCGGCAATGGAAGAGCCGTTGTCCTCTGCGGCCTGGAAGTGTCGCTCCTAGTCGCACTGCTTTAAAAAGCCCCTATACGACGACATTCTGGTCGGCCATACTACGGGTCGATATGGTGGGGTTGGGGGGTCAGGAGGCCGGCGGGGGACATAGAGGGCGAAGGGCTAGATAGGGGGGGTCTAGGACAACCTACGTGTAACTAGGAGCCATTCATGCATGCATGCATGCATACATGCATGCATGAATGGCTCCTATGTATGTATGTATGTATGTATGTATGTATGCATGCATGCATGCATGCATACATACATACATACATGTCCACGCCGCATCCCCGCCCCGCCGCCACCGCACTACTAGTATTTTCCTCCCTTTCCCTGTCCCCCGGCGCTCCCAACCCTCCCTAAATCCGTCCAACCACATTCTCATTTATTTCTCCCCACCACAAGTCCCACACCTAATGTGATCAGCAGCAATCTTAGAAATGCGACTCCCTTCCCCCACCCCACCCCACCCCACCCCGACCCGCTCCATGAGCACCTAGCGGGGGCGGGTCTGGTGTGGACGGGGGAGAGGGGGTGTTGTCCTAAGCATTCACTCACTCACTAAACCACTCGCCAACCGGGCCACTCTGAATACATACATACATACAGGCATCAAGATGTGTTAAGATGCAAGGTGACAAGGCAGTCAGGCATGTCAGGATTACCATGTCGGATGGGCAGTGGTGCTCATGGCACGAAGTGCGAGGTGATCATCAACACAAGGTAACACAGATAAAGGCCCCCAAAGACAAGATCTGCCAAAAGACCCTGCAAAAGATCTGTCCACCACACATGAGAAAGGACAGATATCGTCCGTTCTCCGCCCAGTGCGCAGTGCTGTATGTGTAGCCCCCCTCTCCGTCCATCTCTTTCTATACCTCTCTCTCTTCCTCTCCCCCCTCCCCCTCCTGTTCCTCCCTCCCAGCCAAGCGAGTGAGAGCGCGCGCATAGCCATGCGTGTGTCCCGAGTCACATACACACACATACACTTGTGCGCGCGCGGGCGTGCCCCGCGTGCCCCCCTGCCAGCGAGTTTCCCCCTCATCTCCCTTCTTCTCCTCTTCCGGCTCCTCAGCGCAAACTACCATCCTTATATGTGGGCATCATCTAGAGACACACACACACACACACACACACACAAAATACGTGCCAATACCTTATATCCGCCACCCCCACCGCAACAGCAGCGTCTGAACAAGACAGATGCGGAGGAAATTCGGGATAAGAACACAACAACATCAAGAAGACGTGACAAATGAAAAGCACGGTAAAACTGCCTTTTACGTTTCAGGGCAAACATGACCACATACAGCGGAGTGAGTCATCGTGAGGGATCGCGGATAGCATCAACATGTCGGTCCTCCAATGCCGTCGGCATGGCGTCACAGCGTTTTTTTGGAGTTCTTAACAATACTTCTAAAGTTCGTGTCCTTTTTTGCCTTTATGAAAACCAACCTGCCGAAAATCCAGAAAATCCTGCCCAGCCCGGTAATAAAAACGTTCAAAATAAATTCGAAACACCATCTCAGCTCGCAATCTGCCGGGCGCCATACAGCCTGCCTTCGAAAATATACGTATTAAAAAACCATATAACGCTGTTGCGCCACCGCTCTTCCTTCTCCTCCTCCTCCTCTTCCTCCTTCCCAGCCTTCGAGGTCCCCACACCTCGGTTGAAAAGCGTCCTGGGGCTTCTGGGGGTGGACTGTGCCGCGGAGAGGATCGTGGACGTGGACGGACAGACGGCATTTTCCTGTGTACCACCGCCGCGGACCCGTGACCCCTTCTCGCCTCGCCTCGCCTCGCTTCGCCTCGCCAAGCCATTTCTCCCTGATCAGTTAAACGGCGCCTCATCTTCCCTCCGCTGCACGTGTCATTGCTACACCCTCGCCACCCTTTGGGCCCCTCCCGCCCGCCCCGGCCCCCGGCCCCTCCCCATCCTACGTTAGCTAACGAACAGTAGCTGCTACCACCCACCACCCCGCCGCCCACCCCCCGCCGCCCATCCCTAGCTGAGTTGTGCTCTCAGACTCGCTGCTGCGCGCCTCTCTCCTCCTTGACAAGCAAAGCATCCGTGCCGTTTCTGGTGGCCTCTTTAAGCACTACTAGCATTTTTCCCGAAAAGCTAAAATACGGCATTCATGATGTCCACGAGTCTACAAATCCACAACAAACATTTTAACACACTGCCTCTGAGAGGCTCTGCGTTGTGATGTGTAAAAACTGTCGGTTCACCTTTTTTTCCAGAATGCCCCAAAGCACATCCCTACAAAGTACAACACCATCCCTAAATGAAAAACCCAACCATCCGTCGCGGTTGCTGAGCTTATGCATCGCAGACGGCAGCAGCAATAGCAGCAGCAGTAGCAGCAGCAGCAGTAGTAGTAGCAGTAGTGTTAGTGGTAATAGTGTTAGTGGTAATAGTAATAGTAGTAATGAGAAATGCTATCTGGCGACGAAGCGCCGGCGCCTCCATAACTCCCTCCACAAGCGCGTAGCGGAGGCGTAAGGAGGGTCTCTCATAGCTCTCTCTTGTGCCACCAACGCCATCCACCATAACGACAGCGCGTCTCGAAACGCGCGAACACGCGGATACACAAGCCGTGGAGGTCAGCTCGAAGGCGAGCCTCTCGAGCCATGTTCAAATCGTAAATAAACACTGCCATGGGGCCCAACATCGCAGCTCTAAAGATGGGTTACTAGTTACTATAGGCCCAACCTCGCAGCCGGCGGAGTTCAGCCGTCGCTGTACTGCAGGTGTCCAAACGACTCCGCCGTCACATCCGCGCCGCGCTCCGGGTCCCCAGCACCCTCCATACTGCCTTCAGCTGGCGCTGGTAGTACTGGTGCTGATGGGGATGCCGATGGTGTTGCCGCCACCGCCGGATCGGGAGTCAGTCTACTGCCAGCAGCAGCAGCAGCACCGCCGCCGCTGCCACTGCCGCTGCTCCCCACGCCGCCACGCGCCGTACTTGCAGCATCGGAAGCGCGGCGTACTACGACGGAGCTGCTCACCACGGCCGCCGCAGCCTCGGCCACAGCGGCCACGGCAGCTGCCGCCGCCGCTTCAGCGGCGGCGGCTGGACCAGTCGCTGCCGCCACCGCCGCCGCTGCCGCCGCCGCCGTCGTCATCAAAGTTCCAGTCAGCGGCTGTGCGCTGGTGGCTCGCTGCTGCCGCGCGAACCCCTGAATGCCCGCCGTGGATGCCAGCCCTGTTCCAGCACCCGAATACGTCCGGCGTGGAATTCCAACGGGGACAGCGGCACTGACCGGCGCTGACGTCAGCTTCCAGCCCGGGAACCCCCCCGCTGACGGCGCTCGGTTGCCGAAGCAGCCCGGCAGCGCCGTGCTGAGGGGCTCCATGTCCTGCACCTGGGGACCCGCGGGTCGGTTCCGCCGCGTGTGGCGGTCGCGTGGGCCACTCCGCGACTGCAGCGCCCGCGAGTAAAAACACATATTGACCACTTTGACCTGGCCATATGCATCGTCTACAATGCTGACTAGGCTGGGTGCCTTAGACCGCGAGCTGACGGGCGCCTCGTCGTCCGTCTCGTCGTTAAGGCCGCCTGCCGCCGCCGCCGCTGCCGCCGTCGCCGCCGCCGCAGCAGCAGCTATTGGTCCTGCCTCGTACGGTGACGTCATACTTGGCGGAGTGTTCGCCTCTGTTGGCGGCGGCGGCTGACGAAGCGGCAAACCGGAGCGAAACGGAGGGATGGATGGCCGTACGGCCGCTGTGGCAGCTGCGGCAGCGGCCGGCGGCACCGTTGCGACGGGATCGGGGGCGGGGCCGGGGGCGACTAGGATGTCGATCTGCGCGCCGGATGCGGCTGCTGGGGCGGCATTCTTGAGGCCCCTGGTGGAGGCGGAGGAGCTGCTAGAAGCCCGCGAGTGCCGCCGAGAGACCGCGGTTTTGTTGGAGGACGTTGGGCCGTTGCCAGAGGCGGGCACCGTCCCAGGACCAGCGAGTTTCTGCGCGTTAGGACGGCAGGCAGGCGGGGTTAGGCGGACATGCAGGGGTTGAGACAGGGGTTGAGTTTTCCTTTTGAGTTAACCTATGGTGTGTACGGAAAGTACGGGTGCAGAAAAGCTAAAACTCCCTCGGCGCGGAAGGGAGTAGTAAGTAGGTGGTGGACGGAAAGGCGACCCTCAGAACAGCAGGTCCCAGTATTTTGACGACAGTAGCAGCCGTAGCCGTAGCAGCAGCGCCGCGGTAGGTGCCGGGGCGTCCGATTTTCCAGAGGGGGCCTTGATACCGGTGCGTCTAGACGACATGGCAAATGGCGTGTGCCAAGTGGCCGGGGTGTTTTATGACAATGGTCGCATGGTGACATGGTCACATGATGAATTTCGAGAACAGCAGAGCACGCTCACGCCCTGGCAACTCCCGGTATGCAGTAATTTAAGTCACTCATGGGCACATGGCCATGCTACTCCATGGCTGTAACCCTTTCGGTCGCGCCTGCGCATCCTCAATGCGCATTCCACGTTTTAGCCATGTCTTTGGGGATCCTGCGCCTCTGTCGCAAGAACATCGCACCTGCTTCTGCGAAAGGATGCCCAGCTCCCCATTAGCAATGCCGATGTACTGCACAGTGTAAGTGTTTGTGCGGACGCCAGGAGTGCTGGCAGTGGTACGTGATCCTGCTCTGTTGATGTTCTGCCGTGAGGCTACCCGCAGCGAGCTCGGACATCCCTCGTATCCAGCGGCTGAGGTGCTGTGCCCGCCGGGGAGACCCTGGGAACTTTCCCAACTGCTAACGCTATTGACGCTGCTTGAACCAGTTACAGGATGGTTTGAATTGGGATAGCCGCCTGCTGCTTGCAAGGGTGCTGTAATTTCTGCGCCATGAGTGGTGCCATCGGCTTCAGTGTCTGTGAGAGGCGGCAAAGTTGTCGACCGCCCCGAGCTAGTGAGGATGGCCCCATTACGTGCTGCAGAAGATTTCCTTGGGCTTCCCGGCCGACCAGTCAACAATTCTGACGAACGCCATATGGGCATCGTAAAAATCGAAGCACAGCTAACACCTGCTGGTGTCAAAAATTATTGCTCGGAGAACATGGAAAGTATAAGTACTTCTTGCGTCTACCTCTGAGTATCGCATACACTATGTCAAGTTGAACGGTCCAATGGGCTACAAGAAGCCTCGGCCATGCTTGGTGGCCGCTTTCCAAGACTGAGGAACGCCGGACTGATCATTGACAACATCTTCGGGAAGGAAAACATGCCCTAGCTTAGAAGTGCCGTATAATTATTGCCCGTTGGCGTAACATCTGGAACATCTCTCAAGGATTACGCGTGTGGCTGATGTGATGGTCAGATTGGGGAGCACAACGCAGCACACGAAACGCACAACATGAAGAAGTACGGTGGGCAGCCGTACGTGCCATCACAATAAATAACCATCCCGCAGTGGTTCCTGGGCCCGCACCAGCCATATCCTTATCGCGGGACCCTAAATCTCTCGCTTTTTTTGCTGCTGCTTAGCTTTAGGGGACGATGAACTAAAGTTCCCCTTTAGTACGCAGCGATAGCCCTCCCTAAGCCTGGCGAGGTCTGGCGCTACCTTGACTGAAGGTGGGCCCCCGACTTTAGCCACGAGGGATGATCGGTAGTTACGTTGTGTGCTTGCCTGGTATGGCGCGGGGCTATAATGCCTCCCTATTCGTATTTAGGTCGCCTTGAAATGCAGAAACCCCAACGCATCGCACAATCGGTACGTGGTTGTGCCGCATTCAGCGAGGCCCCAGCAGCATGCATGCCTTCATCAGTGCAGCATTTCCCCCCACATCTCTGCAGCAGTCGGTTCTCAGTACACCTTGCGCAATGATGCACAGCGCACAAGCATGCACGTGTTTCGCGCACGCCAACCCGTGGTAAAAAGTCATGGAGCCACGGCAATTAGAAAATGAACGCATAAGTCGGCACACGTTGAATTCATCAAAGAGAACTTAAACCACCGCATTTGAGCACACGTCCCTTGTATATTGCTTCCGCTTCCTGTCACAGTAAGATTCTTCGTCGGTGAGGCCGCTGTCTCAGCGCACTGCTGCCAGCCGCTTTCTCGTTCCTTACCGCCGTACGCCTTCCTCCTCGCGTCAATCATCGCACTACCTTACTTTCTTCACACCAGGCAATGTATCACGTATATGCCGAGTAACATTTTACTGTCTTCACCTCACCTGGGCACGGTGGCGCGGTGCAGCAGGTCTGCAGGTCTGCACCATTTCAAGTCCGCCTTGGCCACGTATGCGTGCCTTCCCCTCCCCATATGTGCATGCAAAAGCTCTCTGGGCATTAGCTGAAAATAGGTGAACACCTGTCCGTCATGTGCCCATCCTGCTACCTACGTACCTAGCGCGCTTTTGTTGAAAAGCTTCACCTGCCCAGCACTTAACAGGGGTCTGATTGCTCCAACCCCTGCAAAATTGCAGATCCGCTACACCTGCTACACCTGCAATGTTTTGAACTTGTCTGCCCGTCTGCTGACTTTAAAAACTCTTCAAACTCTGCATGTTTTCCCTGCTTGCACGCCTACCCGCACGTCCGCCTGCCTGCCCGCCCTCCTGCCGGCCAGTTCCTCTTGTGTCTTTTGGCAATCCGGGGGATGGCAGCGTGTGCCCCCCCCCGTTGTCCCACAGCACTCGAATGCCGCCTGCATGCCGCCTGCCGCTGTGCTGGGTAGCGGCCCACCGCAGCTCCCACCCCTCCCGAATGCAGTCATGCATTCATCGCGGCTCGCTGCTACGAGAACGCTGACGTCAGCGCCTGCACACACCCGCATATTGCGCCCGGAATATGTCGGCCATGGTCGCTGCCGCAGCAGATGCCGACGCCACCCTCGAACCCACACCCGTATCAGCAGCAGTGGCCTGTGAAGCAGAAAGTATAGTGGCGTAGGCCACCCCAGCTTGGTCGTCGTTTGGGGTCCAGCCCCTCGGAACCGCACTCTCGTCGGCGGGGGGGTTGACACTCCTTCCAGCCTCGTGGGAGGCCATGGACTTGTGAATGCACTGCGGCGCTCCATCAGCATACGGGGCAGCCGTGCCAACGTTAGAGCCACCCAGCAGCTCCACGAGCTCCGCGCTGAGTGCGAGAACCAGCTCAACTGCTGCCAGTGCAGATGAGATTTCCCCACAGCTACACGGTTTGGTCGCCGTGGCGGCGCTGCTGCTGCTGCTGCTGCTGGTACCCGTGCCCAAATCCGTGCAGCCCTCCGAGGATGCCACCAGGCAGCAGCTGCCGCTGGTCGCAGCCACTGCCACGAGCGACCAACATGTACTCGTCGATAGAATCCCTGTCGGCGTGGCGCGGTGACTTGGAGGTGGTACTGCAGCGGGGCCGCCTCCGCTGAATTGCTGTTCGCTCTGCTGCTGCCACCACACATCACGCGGCGGCGGTGCCGAGGAAACTACCCCGTTGCCCGGAGGCTGAAGCCGCTCCTGAAATTTGTCAGAAGCAGGACTGCATGCAGATGATGCGACGCTGTGCATGCCGACATGTCCACCATGGCTGATCTTGCCGCTCTTGCCGCCATTGCACCTGATGCTGGACCCGCTTCCCAAGACCTTGGGTGTGTACAGGTAGCCTTCCCACAGGTCCAAGGCCTCGGTGACACCGTTGGCGGGCTCTTCGACGGAAGCGCTTCCGGGAGGGGTACGGCTGGTATTGCTTCCGCAGCTGTCCTGTCCGGCAGCGGCAACGGCAATGGACCTGCTGCCACCAGAAGCGCAATATCGACAGGCGGCCTCAGCGCTCTCCGCGTCCTCTGCCGAAGCTGAGGTCGCGGCGATGACTCGGCTGATGCAGTTGCCGAATCCGCCGTTGCCGCCGCTGCTACTGTCGCTGCTGCTGCTGCTGCTGTGCAGGAGAACGTAGCACCTCAGGCTCTCCAAAGCATTCATCAGGCGCTTGGCTACGCTTCGTGGGGACGACCCTCTCGTTAACCCTGTTGCAGTTTCGGCAGCTTCAAGCACCGTCCCACCAACTGAGTTCAGGATTGCACTGGAGCCGCCAGCTGTACGCGTCGGAGAATGGATACCGTTCGCCGCTTCTGGCGCAGTCTTGTCCGCCAAGAGTCGAGACGCAATCGCGTGGAGGCCGTCCAGATTGCGAGCACTCGCAGCCACGCGCAGAACGCTCACGATGCCAAGACCTCCAGGGGTGCTCTCTTTACCATACAGCATGTCAGCGACCTCTGTTTTGCGGCAGCCTCGTTCACCGTTACTGTTGCCGTTGCTGCCATTGTGGCTGAGACCGATGCTGGAGCATGCGCCGCCTACCTCGGCGCCAGTGGCTGGGTCACAATCCCGGTCGTCAGAGCCGGTGCTGTCGATGACTTGGGTCTTCTCAGCAGCGGCTTCTCCTGGTACCTCAAGAACGGCGAGCAAGGACTTCAAACCTGTACTGGGATTGACAGGACGCACGATATGTGGGTGTGGGTGTGGGTGAAATGCAGCGGTTTAAATGTGAGCCACAGCATAACTGTCCGCCATGGAATTTTGAACATGCGCCAACTAAGCTTTGCAACATTTTCATTTCATCGCCACGGACCGCCTGGGCTGCAATTGATGTCATCGCGCAGCTCAGGACTCGTTCCGTTGTCACACGCTGGCTTTTTTCCGCCCCATCGCATGCACGCACCCGAAAGCGCGACGCGCGAGCCAAGCCGCGTTGCCAGGCGATGCAAAAGTGGAGGAAACTCAGCCCTTGATCCTCCATGCCCTTCCGCCAGCCCACAAGAGAAACCGACGCTGCTGCCACCAGCACCTCCGCCAGCCGCGGCCAGCGCGATGCCAGGCTCGGGTTCCATCTCACAGGTCCTGGTTGCTGCGATTGTGGTCGACTTAACTGCGCCGCCACCAGGCATTGCCGGGGCTGCAGCCCCTGCTGCTACTCGTGCACTCTCCCCCAGGTTTGCGCCCCGCGAACACGCGCTCATCCCCGATTTCAACAACAAATGAAGCAAGGACGGCAAGCTAGGATCAGGCGGCACCACGCACGGCGCAACGTAGTGGAATCCTTGTACAGCGAACGTGTCCGTGAGCGCAACGGAATCGGCATTGGCGTCTTTGGCTGCGATACCCGCGTCCGTTCTGACATCCATCGCGGCCGGTGCGGGTGCTGCCTGGTGAGGCGGCGGCCACGATGGCTTCGTGGTGGATGGTCGCCGCTGCGGCGGCGGCGGCGGCGGGGGCTGGGGAGACGCCGCGTTCACCACAAGGTCAGCGGCCGATGGTCCGCCTGGAAGGCGCGAGGGTTGTTAAAGGCTGGTAAAGTACAAGACCATGCCTGAACCAAGATAACCCTGACAAATGTGTGGTCTCTTGGCGGGGCATGGGACCAACACGCCCGCATAGTTATCGGTGGCGCAGAAGTGAAGTTGCTTGTCTGCTGTGACCTCCCCCACTAGAGTCACATCCCTCCAATCTCCATCCTATCGCAACCAACGGAGCAACGGAGCCAGGAATCGACGTAGTTGTGCAGCATTGAAGAGCATGATTCTTCAATTAGGTAGATTGGATTGTAGGATATTGTGGTTTCATCAAACCGTGTTCTAATAACTACTGGGTTTTCGACATGGAAAACGTGCCCTATCGCATCTAACCTGGCCAGAGGCTGCGGAATGGGTGCAGCCCGTAGCGCATCAAGCCGCGCAGCAGTGTAGCGCCGCCGATGTCGGCCCCTCCGGAAGCGGCCCTGGCGGTGGTGCTTGGCGGCTGGACCAGCGTGTGCTGGAGCAATGCGGCGAGCACCCTGGTAGTAGTAGCCAGGTACACGCCCCGCGTGCGGTTTGACGGGCTCCGGAGGGCCCAAAGGTACCGCCAAGCGCCAGGTGCCAGGAAAGGAACACACGCGTCAATGGTTTTAGAGGCAGGGTAGAGGAATGGGGCATGGTTCAATGTACGTGCTGTTGTCCATCGAACAGCTGCAGCTACCTCTACAAGGCCCCTCTTAAGAGCTGCAACACGGATGTCCGGAAGGGGGTCGGCGGAGGAAGGTAGTGCGGAACAACATGAAGGCAACTGAGAAGCAACAGGAGAGCTGAGTCTTGAGGTTCTTCACAGCTGCGAAGTACAATAGCTTCTTCCAACACCGGTTTTACGTCCTTCGCAATCCGTCAATCTTTCATGTTAAGGGTGAAAATCCATGCAACAGGCAACAAGCTGGCTGCGATACGCAGGCGGCTCATCCCGGCCGCCAACTGAGTTCCGGACACAGCTCATGCAGGGGTTTTCGCGCCACGTGTCAGGCGAGACCCGCGGCGTGAAAGCCCCTGCATAAGCACATCGTATCTGATAAGTACACAAAAGTTCGGTCAGAGATCCGCATATGCGCACAGCCAAGACACGACATGGAGATCCTTGCCCGTGTTGAGCAAGACATACTGTGGAAGGGTCTCTCGGCACCGCTAGCACTCCTTGAAATCTATTCCATTCCGTTTCGCATGCATCGTATCATATCTACCCACCTTCCGGTGGGGTAGCCGTACTCCATGCCCGCAGCGGCCCCGCCAGGATGGCTCATCGCCGGTGCTTTCCCGCCGGAATGGCGGCAGTCCGTCACACCCGCCAGCCGTCCAGCAGCTGAGGCCAAGGCTGCGGCTGGCACTGGTCCTGAGCCCGGGCCACTCTCCACCGGCAGCAGCGCCTGCCAGGCTCCTGTCGTCCGTTGCTGCAACAACACACCAGCCTGCCGTCCCCACGACTCCCGCTCCGTGCCCTGTCCCTCCGCCGCAGCCTCGGCCGCCAACCGCCGCAGAATTACCGGTGCTAGCAGCTCCGAAACCGCGCGGCTGCGACGCGCCAGCGTCGCCAATGTCAGCAGCGACGATGCGCGGAGCACACGCGCGTCCAAGGCGCCGTGGGATATCAGCAATTCCACCAATTGCTCCTCGCGGGACAGGACAGCGTCCGGTCGGGCAACCTGCTGCTCACCTTCACCATTCAGGACGTGATCTGGATTTGCCGCGGTCTTGGTCAGCATGGAACGGCCAGCGCCGGTGCCACCGGGCAGCCTCACGCCACTAGCAGCTGCTGGTACGGGCGCGGGCGCAATCCCCGCCGTTTCATTAGCCGCGGTTGTGCAAACGGCGTTCCGTGACTCCTCACGCAGCAGGTGTACGACGAGCGGCTGCACAACTAGCCACCAGGCATCCGGAGGAAGCTCGTTGTCGGGGTCGCCCCCGCTACCAGGCAGGCCATTCATGGCTGTTCCCACGACCCTACAGCCGACTGAGCCATGGCTTGGGGCCACCGCCATGTGCAGCTGCTGCTGCTGCTGCTTTTGGAGCGCTGGAGGCCATGCTGCCACAGCAAAGGCAGCATCGTCCAGGGCACAGCCGTCGTAGCCGCGGCAACGCTCTTGCGTTATCCCCCCGCTGTTGTCGCTCGCGAGGGGGTCTGGGAGCTGAGAGCTGTCAGGAACTTTGAGGCGCTCGCTGTCTCTCGGGCGTACTTGCGCTGGCGTCTGCGCCAGCCGCTGCTGCTGTTGGCTGTTGCAGTTGTGACAAGGGGCTGGATCCGCCAAGATGCCCTGCCTTTGCCGCATCTTGCACAGCAGCATCTGCACGACTGCGAGCCTCTCGCCTGGCCCAACTGCGGGGCTCGCGATCGCGAAGGCCACAGGCCCCAGCCCGTACGGCGACCTCCAGCTCGGATCTGCACCAGCGCGCAGCAGTGTGTCGACGTGGGCGGGGTCGCCGAAGTAACATGCAGCGCACAGGAGCGGCCACCGGCATCGAACGGCATCCACAGCCGCTGATGCAGCGGCGGCAGCGGCCACGGCTGCATGCTGCTGCTGGACAGGGGATGCTAAGGGCCGTGCGGCAGCTGACTGGAGTCCTGAGGCGTTCTGCGGAGCTGGCCGAGAGCGCACCTGTTGCAGCCGCGTGGCCATGTGGCCCTGGAGCATCGTCATGCGGGCCGCAGCGTGTGAGAGCTCTTCGCTGGAAATGACCTGATTTGGGTCGAGCTTGCCGCGCAACAGCAACCGGCGAAGAGCCGCAGACCCTGAGCTGCGGCACATGAGGTCTATTACCTCATCACTGCTGATCAGCGCAGACGCTTCGACGAGCGAAGGAAGCCTGGAAATGTTTCCGGGGCGGCTGATGGACGAGTTACAAATAGACTGCTGCTGGTCGCGTGGGCCGCGTGAGTCCTGAATCTTGGCAACTTGTAGCTTGTTGTCTTGAAGTTCTTGGGAATTGCGGCTGGTGACTTTTTTGGCGATTCGAGGTGGAAGTTGGTGGTCAACGAATGTGCTGGGGGCCAAAGCTTGCAGCGGAGCGATGCTTAACGCTGGGCGATGGCCGTTCCCACGCTGTTCTTTTAAAAGATCTCTGCTGCCGAGGGATTGGCCGACTGGATGCGGGAGAGACAGACGCGGAGATAGAGATAGGAGTCCTGTGACGCAACTGACTGAAGCAGCAGGGGACTCCGGCACAACGCCTTCAGACGGACTCATCGGATGTTTATTTTCACTAGGTGGTGTACCTTGCGCGCGCTGTCCCAACCGCTTGATGCGGGTCATCTTTCCCAAAGGCGTTGACCAGGGCGCCTAGCGCGGTTTTCGCAGCCCTCCCTCAAGTCTATTACCTTAAACAGGTGATGGAACTGTGAAGACTGGTTCGTGGTTATAAAAAACAGTCCATGAAAGGGAGCCGTACTGCCGGAAAGCGAAATGTACTTTGCAGATCCGAATTTTCAGCTCATCCCGAGCCCCAAGGCCGCTGAACTTGCACCTGTGAACATAAACTAAACCCTCCTAACACCTTACTTATCCGAAACAGGTCGGACTGCGCGCTGACATCGGCTCTCTGCCTAAGGAGAGTACAACCAAGACGGTCTTCAAGGAAGTAGCACGCATGTTGACGTGCACAAGCCTCAGAATTCTGGCCGTGAAGTAATTTTGGCCTACGGAAGCATTTGCATAGGGTCTAAGCTGGGGGGCTTGTTTTGGGAGCGCAGATGGTCACAGTGCTGATGGCCTGTACATTACCGCGCTTACAAGAGCCCAGCCGATTTGGGTGTGCGCAAAGATGACCAAACTTTTGACCATTACTGGCGCCATCCCGCGATGTTTCACGCATATACAGTGTCGCTTGCTTTGCCGTCTACGATCATTAACGAAGAACGTGACACGTTTTGGCCTTACATAGCAAGGAGAGTGGTTCAGCTGCTCCATGTTCCGTCTATGTACTGTTATTTTGTTCACGAGCTGTGCCGTACCTTACCAGCTTGCTTGGTATCAGTAACTGTGATTATCATTTAAGGCAAACACCTATATGGCTAAATACAAGCAAGCACCGACTGCCGATCGCGAGATCCGTGTATGACCCATGGGTCCGTCTAGCTCTATCGCGGCAAAAAAGCTAGTCGGGATTACCAATATATGCAGTTTTGGTTCCGAGATTACCTTCAACGTCACGCAAGCATTCAGGGATGATCGGCACTATATCTTCAAGGATTGCACCGGTAGACTAAGTTACTACCCTGAACGGCGGCCTGGCCGCTGCCTGGGTTTGTCCCCGGGAAAAGATAATAACCAACATATACACATAATCTGATACAGTATCGCATATCAGGTTTAATATACATCTTACTAAGCATCCAGGATCCTTCGGTTAGTCCTTCGGTGCACCTGCCTCAGAGGAGGATCACGGGGCCGGCAATTTACATATAGTTGCAGCCTGTGATATCAAAATTCTAAAGATGTGGGAGGCTGGGGGTTACGAAGGCTGATAGACGCATCAAAATGCCTGAGCTGTCTCGTCCCGTCCTTCTTTCTTGGTTACACTTTCTCTGTACATGCTTTCCCTTTCAAAGGGCCGTCGATCATTGTATTTTACGTTTACCTCAAAGAATATAAACAAAATTGATATGGTATTGCTCCCTGTTGGCCGCATTAGGCTGTGAGGTCACGCACGATAAAAATGGGCTGGTGGAGCAACGTTGTTTCGGGCGTCTTTAATGCCATTGTCTTCACCTATGACATTCTCTTCCAGGTATAGTCATTTTCTTCGCGGCCTATCAGCCTGGAAAGGCGGTTCATCAATTTACGGAGGCCTCCTTTGCGTATCTTATCCCAAAGATCGTGTCACAAGCTCTTCTGGAAATGCCTACCATGACTAAGTATTGGAAACGCGATTACAGAGAAGCCTGACTGTTGGCGCGTCGCATCTGCCCTGGCCTAACCTGCAGACATGGGGAATGCGGCACCTGCCCCGTCATATCGACGATGTGGGCGGCCCCGTGGAGGGTTTGACCGCCATCGTTACTGGGCCCACCAGGTACCGGAGTCGGTTTGGCGATTCACGCGCTAAATCAACACTTGTCCGAAAAGCTGCGCGCAAAGCTCATGAACATCTTCTCACCCAGTGGCGCGCTGTACCACATGTTACACACCCAAACTCCCAGAATACGGTGCTTGTGTTCGACCATCCTTCCATTTCCTTCCCTAATTGCATACCCCAGCACAGCACAGCACAGCATATCAGCCGACGGGCTAAGACTGGCATAAAAGCCGTCCGCTTGCCTTGCCTTTTCTCCCCTCCGCCTTCTCTCCTTCCCATCCTTGCACCCTCGTCCCCTCCTGCTGCCTGCGGCGCGCAGTGGAATTGGCGAGGAGACGGCCGCAGCACTGGCTCGACGAGGCGCTAAAGGTGCAGTGACAGCACAGTACATGGGGAAGAAATCCCCACGGCTTGGAAGTTTCCCTTTTGAGGGGGAAAAGGTTTTCTTTTTTGTGGGGGGGAAGGAGAACTGCAGGCCCTGACGCGGTCAAGGGTAAGGACGGGAAGAGAGAAGAAGGGAAAGGTTGGCAGACCTCAGCTTGGCAGGCGGACCCTTCCCGCCGCCTTCTCCCCGGGCTCAGATTCATGCAGGGCTTGCGCGGCGGCCTGGCCGGCAGAGAGATGAGAGGGGAGCTCCCAATGAAGGGGGGGAAAGCTGTGATAAGGGTTTCGGAAGGGGGAAGAAGATGGACTGCATGGTCTAGATGGACGTTTTTTCTGGGGGGGGTGAGATGGGGGAGATGGGTGAGATGGGGGAGGTGCACATGCCAGAAAGAACACACGATATTTTGGCGGGTGTGGGCGGGCCCGCCTGGCTGTGGGGTGCTGGATGCATTGTGTTTTCGAGGGGGATTGTGAGACGGTCGGGGTCAAAAGCGACCGACCGACCGCCAACCCATCGCGTGACACCGATTTTGTTTGGGTCAACGTTTGTTTATCCAAACCCCTCCAGTATACGACAAGATACGATACGCGGCACATGCCACACGCGTAGAGCCTCTCCAGCCGCTTCAGCCAACCACCACTGCACGATGATGCGCCACATACGCATACACATACACACACGCTTGTCACCCCGCTGGGTTATCTAAATCCCTAACGCCCTGCCTCCACTCTCCCCGCCCCCCCTCTTCACACACACATACACTCCCCCCGCCCCCCGCAACCTTCATTGTAGTCGTACTTGCCTGCCGAAGCAAGCAACGGGGGGAGGACCTGTGCAAGGCCCTTAAAGCGGCGGCGAAGCTGGCGGGAAGGCCGCAGCCGGATGTCGAGGTACGACAATACACACGCAGAAACATCCGCATGCTGTGACAGATGTTGTGTGCCGCTGTGTACACAAGCTCGCGTTTCTTTTCGCGCGCGCGTGCTCAAAACATGGTGTTGGGGGGCATGGCACGGCATGGGGGGGGTGCCCGCTTCCTTTGATGGGTCTTTAGCGACCCTACTTGTGCCCCATGGCCGTGTTGTGCACCACCACCTGATTGGACGTCGTTGAAAAGCTTCGAAAGGGGGAAGGGACAAAAGGGGGAAGGGACAAAAGGGGGAAGGGACAAAAGGGGGAAGGGACAAAAGGGGGAAGGGACAAAAGGGGGAAGGGACAAAAGGGGGAAGGGACAGAAGGGGGAAGGGACAAAAGGGGAAGGGACAAAAGGGGGAAGGGACAAAAGGGGGAAGGGACAAAAGGGGGAAGGGACAAAAGGGGAAGGGACAAAAGGGGAAGGGACAAAAGGGGGAAGGGACAAAAGGGGGAAGGGACAAAAGGGGGAAGGGACAAAAGGGGGAAGGGACAAAAGGGGAAGGGACTGTGGATAAGGTTGGGTTGGGAATCTCCTGCAGTGCCCTGAGACGGGATGAGGTTAGATGAGGTGAGGGGCTTCCCGCGGTCAGATTTCCCCTTTCCCCCCCCCACACACACTCCTCCCCCCACCCCTCTCCGACTGGGGATGATTGAACTCCCACCCTTCCTGTGCATACAGCTGATTCGCACGTCGCATGTCGTTCTCGTTTTTCATTTTTAGTCCTCTTTCCCCCAAAACCGGCGGCAGGCACGCAGGCAGATTTTTGGCGTTGACAGCAAGTATATAGTAGTTGTACAGTCGAATTCGAGTCCCAGAGAGATCAAGAGCTAGCTGGCGAGGATAGCGAGCGAGGAGGGCATCGCTAGATTTTATAGCAAGAGATAGATCTAGATAGCAAAAGCATGAAATCGTCTTCGAAGTTTGGGGAACGCTTCTCATTTTGCTGGCAAGAGACAGAAAGCATGAAGTTTTCCGCGTAGCTTGGGAAGCGCTTCTCATTTTGCTGGCGTGATGATCTCTTTCCTCTTTTGGTCAGGTTCGAATCCTGGATCTAGCATCGTTGGAATCTGTCCGGAAGTTCGCGGCGGACTGGGAGGCGGAGAAGCGGCCGCTGCACATCCTCATCAACAACGCGGGCGTGTTTACCATCGGAGGTACGACAGTAGCACCATCGTGACAGTACGACAGTAGCAATGGCAGAGACCACAGCGGCGTGTAAAGTTATAGAAAGTGGGTGGGTTGGGCACGTTCATCACATACACACGCGATTCATTTTTTTTCGCCCCTATGGCGCGCGTGGCCAGCGAACACACAACACCCCAACAACCCCAACAACCCCAACCGTACTACAACACACCCTCACCACCACATTCCCCCTCACCGCACCGCACCTCCCCAAACCGTCCCCCGTACGCCAGTGGCAGTAGCAGTTTTGACCCGTTACTTTTGGCCCGTGTACTTTGTGCCCTGTCCATTCTGCCCGAAATATCCTACAGCTCCCCGCTCCGAAACCAAGGACGGTTTCGAGCTCCACATGGGCTCCAACCACCTGGGGCACTTCCTCCTCACGTTGTTGCTGCTGCCGTCGCTGAGGCGCGGAGTAGCGGAGTTGAAGGCGGCAGCGGCTGCTGCTGCTGCCGCCACCGCCGCTGACGGCGGCGCCGCTACCGCGGCGGCGACGGCGGCGGCGGCAGCGTCCCGCTGCCGTATCGTTTGCGTGTCGAGTTCCTACCACGCCCTCGCCCGCGAGGGCATTTCGGTGGCCGACCCTCACCTCACCCGGCGGGGTGCTTACAACTCGGATTTGGGTTATGCGCAGAGCAAACTTGCCAATGTACGTGCTGGGGGCCGGGGGGGGGCATGGGAGGGGGGGGCCGGGGGGGGGCATGAGGGGGGGGGCATGGGGGGGGGAGGAAAGACGAGCCACGAACGAGTGAAGCTGCTGCCAGGGCAAGAGTGTACAAGAAGCAGGACTGGCGAGTAGGCGTTCTTGGAGGCGGCGACCTCGGGATGGGGGGCCCCGGGGGGGGCCCCCGGGGAGCCGTGCTCTATCTCATGCAACTCCTAATCATTTCCTCTCGAAGAGGAATACATGCATGTCGTCAAGCAGCGTATATAAGCCAACAAATTAGCAAAAATAAAATATACTTTACTACTTTCCACACACACGCCGTTCCCCCAATCGCTCATGTGTACATACATACATACATGGAAACAAACGACACAGATTTTGTTCGTTCGGGAGCTGAGGCGGCGTCTGGCGGTGTCGGAGCCCTGGCTGGCGCCCGGGGTCTTTGCCGTGCACCCGGGTTTGGTGTGTACGGCAGTCGCACGTGATCTGCCCTGGTGGATGCGAGTTACCTACTACGCGGTCATGGGCCGGTTGCTGCTCAACTGCATGCAAGGTGGGACAACCTAAAAATGTTTCCAAAATTTTTCTTTTTTTAAAGGATATGTTTTAATTTTGTCCAATTTTGTCGACTTGTCAAACACGTCTTGTGTAGTATGTTATAGAGTTATAACTAAAAGCCCTCAAAAAAGCCTTTTAGAAAAAAATGAATACAACAATTAATGCTCCTGCTAAATCTTCAGAACTTGAATCAAACCAAGAAGCCTCATGAGCCTCATCTTGATTGATTTTTTTGAATTTTAATACCGTAATGATACGAATGTTTCGCGCCACACCTTTCGCGGGTACCCCAAAGATATAGCTGGAATTTTTCGTTTTGTTACACCAATTCGCGAGGGCTGTCAGTTTTTATGGCACACATTTGTTTACATGAACACACATTTCGCGGGGCTCCAGGGAAGCCACAACAAGGAGCGACAGCGTCAAAGCTCCCAAACTGCTGGACATATCGTTTACTATATGTTTACGCAGAAGAACAGAAGACAGGCCCGTTGGTGCGGCATATGAAAAATTCGGTTCTGGCGTGTAAAAACTCAGTTCTGGCTGTTCTACACCATGTACACGGCGTACAACACATTCGTGCCACACATTTTCGCCACCCTAAGTAAATAATTTTCCCCATAGAGCTTTTTCCACTGTGACACACTTCGTGGCCCAAAACGAAAGGTGTGGCGCGAAACATTCGTATCATTACGGTACTCGAGACGGCGCAATCTGAAGACATGACTTAGCCTGAGCCTCGCGCTTCCTACCTCTTTTCGACGCTAGGTGCCCGGGCCAGCATCTACTGCGCCGCCTCCCCGGCAGCCATCGCAGAGGCCACCCCCACGTGCGGCTACCTCAACTCTAACTGTCGGGCAGTCAACCCAGCCCCAGCCGCGACGGATGACGCGGCTGCCTTGTGGCTGTGGCGCTGGTCGGCTCAGCAGGTATGTGCGTATGTATATGTGTACGCGTGTGCCAAGTGTGTATTTTGTGTAAACATGTTCTGGCGGGAAGTAGGAATATATATCAAGCGGAGGCCTGTGGCGTGTGAACGGGTTTGGGGTTACGAACAAGAAAACGGAAATATATAGGCACGTGAGGGGGGCTGGCGTACACGCGTTGTGAAATCTGAGGATCGGATCCATTTCTGAAATCCAACAAATTCCAAATCCACACGCCACGATGTACGGGCGTGTACCGTACTACATGTCTCATGCCTCGCTGTATATCTGTACTGAATGTGTACGACGTGCTTTGTAGGTCGGCCTGGATCCGTCCCTGGACTTGCCGGAGCCGTGATGAAAGGGAGCGCGAGGGAGGGAGGGAGGGAGAGATGCCGCCTTGGCAGCGCGGAGGGAGGGAGCCCCTGGGTAGCCCCTGGGTTGCTTGTTGATCTGTGTCGGCGTCTGTATATCTGTGTGTATACGATATTTGTTACCCCACGTTTGCACCGCACCCATATGCCGTCCAGAGCCTCAAAGCTGACCCCGGGGGGGGATATCACCCGGATGGTTACCAAGTAATATGCATAAGTGATTCTCTCATCTCGGGGTTTCGGGGTTTCGGAGAGGAAGCAAAAGATAGGGCTATTAGGGGAGGGGAGATTCTGTGAAAAGAGGCGAAGCGGGATAAGATAAACATCATGCTGTGATAGACCTTTCCTTGGGATGGTGGGACTATCAGTGAGCGGGGGCGTGTGTGTGGGTATGTATGTATGTGTGTGTACCTGCACAACATGTAGGTTGTGTCTCTGTGTGTGGGGGGGTACAATTGCAGGCCAGGCGCAAGGCGAGGTACGGGACAAGAATGAGAGCGAGCGGTGGGGTAGGAAAGCAGCAGGCAAATTGACACAGGAACGCGGTCTCTGATTGCCTCCTAGCTGACAGGGATCACAGTCTTGGGGCCTTTCCTGGTCGAAACAGCTCGTCCTAGAGATGCGGCCGAACAGTACAGTACTGGTGATCTATCTATCCGGAGCAACTGTAACACATCACATCACATCAGGTCATGTGCATGTGTATGTTGATCTTTCTTCCCGTCGAGTTGACTTTTAGATTTATTATATACGCCGTTGCGTTGCGCTCCGGTATCCGTGTTTTGTCGATTCGTGCTGCTAAGGCCGCCGTGGATGCGGAGGAATGGATGGGTGGGTGTTGGGCTCTGGGGTGGCTGACACTGCGGTGAGAGCGCCAGTCTGATAGCGATTTTAGCTACAGCCGGGCGGGAGATGGGCCGCGTACACATGTCAACGGCGCGCCTGACCCCCGTCCATATCCTGGTGGCACTACCCAATCATCACGGCCTCAGCAGTACTGCGGTGTGCATCAGTACGAACAGCATGCGCACACGGAGGGCCACTTGAAGGGTCTTGCATTGCAGAGAAACACAAGGGACAAGATGTTTCTAGGATCTCTGTTCGCGGTTCGCGAAAACATGCTTCATCATTGTCGGCTGATCGTGTGGTGATACAGGGATACAGACATGACGGGAGGAGAAAACATATGCAACCACAGTCTAAGCATGGCTGTTGGTCCCTCCTGTGTACCGTAATGAAGTGAATTCGTAATACTGCAAGACGGATGAAAAGTGAGAACCGCAAGGATTGGATGCCAAAAGGAAGTCTTGCATGGACAACGACATGGAAAAAGTACGACGTAAAATCCCGAAACCAGGACCGAGGTGGTGGTTTGTGTAGAAAACGTGTATCTTAGAACCTTTCCCAGACATCGGATAAAAAAATCTGGCGCACGGCTCTTAAAACACTTAAAAAGCAGTAGTACGTGCAGGTGTCCGTGTGTTGATGTTGTAGTTGTTGTCCTTATAGGCCGCTCCTCAATCGCGCAAACTCCATCTCACCATTTTCCGTTATGCATGCGGCAGAGAGCTTCAGCTAACCCATCAGAATCTCTCTAGACCGACCCCGTAAACTCGACAGACGGATTGTCATCAACATAACCTTTACGGTGAGAGAGGGAGAGAGAGCAAAGGATGATCTAGCCACAATGCAGCCACTGACAACTGGCCACGACCAAGATCCTCAGCTTTTGTCAGATACCTCCGTACTTACCCCAGCCATTTTTACTTCGTTAGGCCCAGGCGGCTGGCGGTCATGTTAGGGCGCAGAGCTCAAGGAGCTCTGTGATTACGTATTACGACGGTGATTACGTATGACGACGGTACGAGATCGGCGCGGATCGATTTCCATAATCATGTCCAAACTCAAGCGTGAAATAGTTTTAAATCCAAATCCAGATTTAGTGCGAACGCAGCAGCTGCTTTAGGAAGAATACACACACGGATCCAGAGAAAAGAAAGGAAAGTTGCGGCGAATACGTAATGGTCTGGGTCCAGTAATGTGATTTCCGCTGCACCAACAGCAGACGCCGTTGTTGCAATCGCCACACTTATAGGCTCCCCATTCCACCAGAGAGCTGCGGACGACGACGACAGTCGTAAACCATTTTCATTCACTACTGGCCACTGTCTGGATAACCGACGTACGGCCCAGACGCATTCCAATCCAAGGGTACGTCAAATGCAACTACACAACTGTATACCAATGGCACAACTAGTAGCTGCCGTACAGGCAAAACACCCAGGACGTGCACTGCCAGCACACGCCTTCCCGAGCGTCATTGGCAGCAGCAGCAGGAGCACCACCAGCAGCAGCAGCAGACCTAACCCACCATCAACACAGCGCAACGGGAATGGCTTGCTCGTCACTCTATCATGTTTTGATGAGACCGATCTCTCGACCCGACCCGGTCGAAAGGTACAACGACAATGCAAAAACAATGCTGGGCCAGGGTTGAGCAGAATTCGCCTACAGCTCCCCAGCTGCACACACATGCATATGATGGCGCAATGCACGGCACAAAACGCATGCACGGCTGAGAAGAAAGTGCATGGGCCGATACTCCGTCCAACACACACCACCGCACTGCCTGTCGCCTTCACATCGGGGCCCCGCGACACCCCATCCCAACCCAACCCACCCGCGACAGAGCGAGCGAGCTGGTCGCCATCCTCACCACAAGCGCGCCGTCCCCAGCACACAAATACGTTACCTACCCTGTGTAGAGGTTGCCCCGCCGCGGAGTGACCGAAGGAACGTGTATGTGTATGTGTGTGTGCGTATATGTGTGTGTGAGTGATAATCGACCGATTGCACCGATTTCCCTAGTCAAACGCTACGGGCACCCAAAACAACACGGCTTCGGAACCGGCCCCCGTTATCCTCTCTTGCGCAACCGCCCACACGTCGCGAGGAGCCTGCTGGTAGCGGGGGTTGTCATCAACCGCCAAAACCCGGGGAATCCTGTTTCATCAGACGAATGCATCATCATCGCAGTCTTCTCTCGTTTCGTACCGCAGCTGTACGGTATGTATGTCGAATGCCAACGTGCAAATGCGTATGGAAAGCAAGCAAGCAAGACCCGGCCGTCCCTGCGTATGTCTGTCTGTCTGTCTGTCTACCCTGTTCCCCACATATCATGACTGACGTAACCACAACACTGCCTTCTCTTTGGGGTCGCCTCACCATTCACCCAACGGTCTTCATTATGCTATGACTCCGCCCCGACCGGTCAAAGTGCCTTCCCCCCCTGCACAGTGCCATGCCCTGTGATTTTCATCGGATAGCGAATCCGGATTCAGATTTCTCTAGTTGTTTTCAAAGCAATTGAAATTCAGTTCTATCGCAGCCGCATTCCCCCCACACGCACTCTTTTTTTAGAAACCAAGCCTGCGGTACAACGGCCGTGGTACAAACCGAAGGCCAGGACCGATCCCGCAGAAGTCTTTTTCGCCCTCAACCCCGCTGATTGATTTTCGCGTGGCGTCTGCTGTCTGACAGACAGACAGACACAAAGTAAATCGTCACCACCACGGAATTCGAAACCGCCCTTTTCCTTGTCCGCCGCTTCCCAACCCCCCAAGAACAGCCACACGCAAACAGCTCAAAAAATGACCGTACAAGTGAAATTCGGCTCATGGGGTTGGCCTCGTTGGGGCTCGAGGGGGCCGTCAAAAAAGGGCTTTGGTGAAAAAATATATATGGTCGAGAGCGCGGCGGGAAGACACACAGGACGGCAACCTGCGGGCGCAAGTGTGCTGCTAATGCGGGCCGCTGCTGCCCAAGGACGGCGTCGCCGCCGAAGATCCCGACATCGATCCCGACCGGGCGCGCATGTCGGTTTGCAATCCCGCAATCCCAATCAGGTCCGGGCCACCGGCCGCGGCAGCCGCCATCATGCTGCCAAACAATGGCTGTAGCTGCTGCTGCTGTTGCTGCTGCTGCCGTTGCTGCTGCTGCTGGAGCTGGAGCTGCTGTTGCAAGTGCTGCAAGTGCTGCTGCTGCTGTTGTTGTTGCTGCTGCTGCTGTTGTTGCATTTGCAGCAGCTGCAACGTCTGCTGCTGCTGCTGAAACTGCAAGTGCTGCTGCTGCTGTTGCATTAGGCTTGGCGGCTGCTGCTGTGCCATCTGCAGCAGCAGTTGCTGTTGTTGTTGTTGTTGTTGTTGCTGCTGCTGCTGCTGCGATGGCGGCTGCAGCTGCACAGGCTGCAGCTGCGCGGGCTGCGGCAGGTGTTGCTGCTGCAGCAGCTGCTGTGCGGCGGCTTGCTGCTGCTGCAGAAGCTGCTGCCCCACACCCACATTCGCGTCGATGGGCATGAGGCTGGGGTGGATTGCCAACAGACCGGCGGATACTGAACCCGAACCTGGAGCTCCGGAACCAGCTGGAGGGGCACAGAATGATGGCAGGTTGACAGTTAGCAGATGGAGGTTGGCAGGTAGGACGGAGGGATGGTTGTTTGGGTAGGACCCGTGCGAGGCGTACGTATTTTGGACCCACCCCCCACCCGCCCGGGGTTGAAGCGACGGTGGCGCCGCGGACGACAGCCATGGTGGTTTCGGTGACGAATTGGGGTTAATGGGAATAACGGCCGTGGGGCAGCACCGTGCATTCTGTTATGTTACAGTAGTGATATGAAATAATACGGGTAAGGAGTGAGGTGGTAGTACGGTGTTCTCGTATGATGTTTAGTAAGGTGAGGTGAGGTGAGGTGAGTACGGTGCGGTAAACAACACGGTGCAGAGCTGTGTGAAATTTATGAATTGGCGAATTTTGCGACATCGCGGTACGAAACGCTGTACGGACGGAACGGAGCGGTAAGGTGAGGCAGGAAGAGGATAGAGAGGATAAAGATAGGTAAGGCCCGCAAGACACACAGGAGTCTTGCAGGCGGCCTGTGACAGCTAGCAGGCGGCCTGTGACGCATTTGGTCCGCCCCCCGGTACCCAACTGCCCAACCCGCAACCTCCTCTCTCCACCACTCACACCACCACCGCCCCCCGCGTTCCTCCTCCAACTCCCTCCTCCCCTCCCTCTTTTCCCCCCACTCACGTACGGCATATCCGCCTAGCTGCATCGTCAACTGTTGCGTGGCGGGTGAATCCGGCTGTCCGAGCTCAGCGGCGAGAGCACTGGCGATACCCAACGCGTCCGGCACAGCCGGATAGCACCGCACCAGGAGGGCCGCCATCTGCGCGGGCCGGAAGACGCCGCGGAAGACGGCGATAGCGAACTCCAGCACCACGTGCTGCTCGGCACGGAGATTGTCGCGGAGCTTGGAGACAGCCTCGTGAGCCTGGTGGTTATGTGGGTGTGTTTGCGCGAGAGAGTGTAGGTCGTGGGTTGGTTCCGATGGGCTTGGGTTTACAGAAACGCCGTAAAGCGAAAAAAAAATAAAAAATAAAAAATAAAAAACGGTGTTTGTCCCGTACCACAACAAAAAAATACAGGACCCTGTGCTTGGTGTTTATGGTGTTTATGGCAGGATGAATGCGTGTGTAGGCGTAATGATGTAGGCGTACAGTTACGTGCACAACCAGGATCGGGAATGAATGAAACAATGACGAGCCTCCGTCGGAATGAGAGCAGCAGCAGCAACACTGCAGAGAACCAGAAAGGATATAATATCCGAAGTTTCCTAATTTAACGCCCCTTTCCCCGCCTCCTTCCCACCTTCCCACCGTACATGCACACCCCTTTCTACCTTGATGTACGATATGGAGCTCTTGGTGTGGAAGGTGTCATGCGGCAGATTGGTCTGGATGGAGATGTTGAGGTGCTTCCGCTCGTCCATGATGGGTTCAATCTTGGTCAGGAAGATGCGCTTCAGCTCCACTATCTCCCGCATCTGCTCGGGAGTCAGCTCGATGTGTTTCTGCACCATCATTGTCAATCAGCCAATTCATTCACCGTCATGAGCGCGAAAGTGGTGAATGGAAGTATACGAGCAGCTTTACGTGAGAAGCAACCACCATAGGGCCGAGGGTGGAGTGAAGGGGTGGAGTGGAGTGGGTTGGGGTGGGGTGCAAGCCGGGGGTTTGAGGTTTTGGGTGGGTGGGTGTGTGTTCGGGGGGTTGGAAAGGATTACCGAGCGGTGTTGGTGGTGTGGAAGCCCCGAGGCCGGAGGACCAGCGTCGAAAGGGGCTATGGTGAAAGAAGTTTTTGTTTACTTCTAAAACATATGCTTCTAACCTAAGGTTTTCCTGTGCTGCTATGTGCCCTCCAGAGAAGTACCACGTGCCATGGCGTCCTTGAAATAGGATGAAACGCACTTCCGGTGCCAATCTCTTGCCCCCTCGCGCCCCCTCGCTCTCTCACCACGACGCTCTTCCACAGGTCGATGACCTCCATTTCCGTGTTACCCAGGTACTGGCGACTGAACACGATGAATTTGCGAGCCTCCAGAGGCCGCGCGACTCCGAGACGCATCAACATGACGCTCTACGATCATGGCACACGGCATCATGATGCCAATATATTAACATCAAACAAAATGAAGATGCACGAGACTAACCAACCGTGTGCATGTGCCCACCCCCCCGCCCGCTGTGTTTCGGCCCCGGGCTCCTTCGGCTTTTAAGCCCGCAATGTAATCAACATCATACATACATACATACACGCATACATACACATGCATATGTACGCTTGAGCTTTACTACTTCCTTCGACAAAACTTCTTCTCGTGTGCGCCATCCCATCTCGCCACTTCGTGCCCCCGAGGCTCCGATCAATATAATAAAACACGCACGCACGCAGACACACACACACACGCATATCCGCACGCATCACACACACCAGCTCTCGAACCAGGTCCTCCAGCTCCGGCTGCACCGCGGCCGAGCTAGCACCGCCACCGCCGCCGCCGCCTCCTCCTCCGCCTCCCGCGGTGCCCCCCGCGGTGCCCACCACGGCACCTCCACCACCACCACTCGCCGCTGTTGTCTTGTCATCCTTGCTGCCCTCCGCTGACGCGTTGGCTGACGCAGCTTCACCGCCGCCCTCACCCGCCGCCGCCGCCGCCGAGGCGGCGGCAGCGGTTTCCGACCCGCGGGTCGCTTCCACCAATCGTACGGACAGCTCCTTGACGTACGTCTGGTAAATTCTGTAAATATCTTCGCTCGTGAGTTCCTTTATGGCCTCTGGTGTGAGGGGCACCAGGGCCTGGCCCGAGCCCAGTGAAGCCAGCTCAGCTTCTGCTACCTGCAGTGGCATGTGAGACATGACGGCGGCGGCCGCACACCAAATACAACACACATCAAAAACATATGTTAAAACACATGTTAAAACATATGTTGTAAAGATAGATATGGGGTTAATTATGGCACCGGGTGCAAGTGGCCTAAATGGGAAATAATGCCTAAATGGAGAGTCGTGGCCCCCAACACCTGCGCCAACACACACACACACACACACACCGCTGGTCCCCCCCTGGATGAAATAGGTCGGGGTGTCGAATGCTGAGATAAGACATTGGGTTTTCCTCCACTGCGCTCGGCGACTGGGGAGTGGGAGCAGCTCACCATGAAGATCTATCTTTACACTTAGCCGCAGTAGCAGTGGCGGAGGAATAAGACACTGCACAGGGCCTGGACCAGAGGCTGTATAAACCAGATGGTGGTGGTTGGATAATGAAACCCCGGGGGCGGCGGCGGCAGGATTCACAAGGATAGGGTGGTGGCGATTGGCACCGGTGCGAGTGCATTAGTGGGTCGCACAGCTGTAGGGCATGCGCTTTTCGGTGGAACGGAGGTTGCTTTTAGGCATATGAGCTAACTATGTATGTTGCTGGCTAGAGGATTCGAACAGGTGACGCGCCGCCTTGCGTTGATTCATAAGGGTGAACGGCTAGGACTCTGACCGATATAACGCCACTCCAATAATGGAGAGTGCTTCGGCGGTGTCGTTCCCGTTGGGGTATTATACGGTTAGGTGCCCCTGGCCAGTGTCAGGCCCGGATCGATATTTAACAGATACAGACATACATACACACTCCTGCATGCTGCCGGACGCTCTCAAAAAATCCGGGTATGCAGTTGGGGGCTCTTTTCCAGATGCCGGCTGGTTGGCTCCTCACTCACACGCCCTCGGCACCGAGACAGGCCCGGCAGTCTCATGTTTCGGAATCCGGGTTCCGGTTTTTAGTAATTCCCGACGGGTCCCCCGTTCGAGCCCGGGTGGGTGCCCGACGGTGCGGGGCCGTACCTCTTTATTTTCCTGCATGACCTGGATCTGCTCGTTGCGCATGTCCAGAACCTGGTGTGGAGCATTTGGGGCGGGGGGTGCGGGGGCCCCGGGGGGGTAAGGCGCACCATTGACGATTGAAGCTGATACCTTAGGGGGTGGAAGGTGAAGTTACAGAGTTGGAAGTGGTGGAGAACATGTTGGTGGAGAACATGTTGGTGAAGAACATGTTGGGGTTTTTTTAAGGGCAAGATCAGCATTAGCATCAGCATCAGCATCAGCCGTGACCATGATGGTTAGGGAATGCAGGGAATAACTAGTACAAAAGCACACACCAAAACCTCTGTGCCTTTGGCCTCCACCGCGCCTCCACTCCACACACAACCCCCCCAAAACACACACGAGCACATATGCACACCTTCTCCAGTATGGAAGTCCGGCTGTGCAGCGCCGCATTCTCCGTTTGCAGGTTGGACACCTTGCCAGCCAGCTCCTCAATCTGCTTGTGGAGCTCCATCAGCTTGGTCTGCAATCAAAAAGCCCGACAAACAGACAGACGGACATACATGCGGGGATGGTGATACAAGAGATGTGGAAATGAAATACGTCACCACCGTCGTCATCATTAACAGCAACGATCCAAAACCCCTACCCGGGAAACAAACCTAACAAGAAACACAACATTGGCAACATCAACAAGGCACCCTCAGAATGTGCACGTCAGATGCACCAAGGAACCTGCAGTCTTCTGGGCGCGCGGTGGGCCTGCTGCTACACTCGCCTCTCACCTTTTGACGTTCACGAAAGCGCCGCTGAGCCTTTCGGTTCTTCTCCTGCAGCGCTGCATGCCGCCGATCCGCCCCATCCTCCACGGGAACCCCAACACCCCCGTCACGCTTCTTCTTGTTGCTCTTGTGCAGGGGCATCTCGCCGTCGGAGCTGGCGCTGTCGGAATTTGAATCCAACTCCCCGTCGGAGGATCCAGGATCCACCTCGCCGCGGCGAGAGGGGCCCCGCGTGGACGACCGGCCACGGCGGCCACCGCCCGCCCCGCCGGCCGCAGCAGCAGCTCCCCCGCCC